TTAGTTACCTCAGCGATGTGCGTAACTATTAAAATGTCAGCTCATCCATGCGCACTCAGTGTGCGTCGGGGTAAAACAACCAACATCCTTGAGTTTATCCGTCAAAAATAAACAGTCTAATGGAAATATCTGTAACCTGCCATTTATGTGTTTTGCCTTCTTGTGAAGATTGTTGCAAAGAGAAACAAACTTGATTAACCCCCAGAGCCACGCGCACTGCGCGCTGTACTGACTGTAAATGAGGGGGAAACGATTTAATCGGATCCTTTTCTTTTCAACATGGTTTAATGTAAAGTTTCATTCAGTACAAACCTTAGTTACACCAATCTAATGAGACAGAGCCTGGATGTGTATTCTAAACAGTTTAAACATGTTTAAAACGGAAACATGCGTGACGCAGGGGTGGACATTAACTTCAAAACCAACGCGGCCAGCCGGGCCGGTAACTCTGAATATTTACCGGCCCCGCTGGTCAGCTGCCAAAACGAGTCAAAATAACAACTGAACCGTTTTAAATGTAATAAACCTTTATTTTGTACACATTCACAATCATAATAACGTATTCAAGTTTGAATTTGTTTGTTCCCTCAACAAAAACTCAATTTTGTCGTCGCATACTCCGGCATACAACGCAGTACATCACCAGCTCCGCTTTGCTGTACCCGAGCCATTGGCTGTGTTCGAGATGAGCCAGTTCTGCGCAGATTAGATCACCGGTGATCGGCGAGCAGTGCATGCCGGTTAGATTTGTGTCTGACTTAACGCCGACTTGCTCTGACGTCATGCATACGTAGGCAACGATAACCTCGTGAGATCAAGGCAGTTGCAGATTTTGGAGCAAGGTGCTGCAGTTGCTCTCCACCGGCTGCAAACCTAGATGACGGGAAACGCCTGGCTCTCACCTGATCTAAGATCTGATTGGTTCACATTTTGATCCAAACATCTGGTGGTAGAACATGAAATGTTAGTTGGTCACATGTATTCTGTAAATCACGTTATGTTGATGATGACGACTATATAGGCCATAAAGAGAAATGTTTTGTTTTCTTTTGTCACGTTTCCTATGAGCACACTGAAGCTACAGCTGATAACATTTACTTATTATTACAGTCATGTCTTCATATACAATATATGATATCCACAAGCACGTGAGGATGGTGTTCAGCTGCTAACAGGCACCAGAATTAAAATTGAACAAGTGTGAACGCTCACGCAATATCTTCAGCCATCGTCACCCCCGAGCTACACATGCAGGGAAATCCAAGAGATTCAACTGGCAGAAACACCATAGTCTCTCTCTCTCGCTCTCTCTCTCTCTCTCTCTCTCTCTCTCTCTCTCTCGTCTCTCTCTCTCTCTCTCTCTCTCTCTCTCTCTCTCTCTCTCTCTCTCTCTCTCTCTCTCTCTCTCTCTCTCTCTCTCTCTCTCTCTCTCTCTCTCTCTCTCTCTCTCTCTCTCTCTCTCTCTCTCTCTCTCTCTCTCTCTCTCTCTCTCTCTCTCTCTCTCTCTCTCTCTCTCTCTCTCTCTCTCTCTCTCTCTCTCTCTCTCTCTCTCTCTCTCTCTCTCTCTCTCTCTCTCTCTCTCTCTCTCTCTCTCTCTCTCTCTCTCTCTCTCTCTCTCTCTCTCTCACACACAGGAAATGAGCTGAGAAAAGGCAGAGGAAATGGAGGAAAAACTACAGCTGAGCTGAGGCGCGCCCTCGACTGGGGCGTGCCTGATCCGAACTGAGCAGCGCCGAATTTCGTGAGCGATTCGCTTGTCGGCGCTTCCGCGGCCGGTGTGTCCCCGGCGTTAAACGCCGGCTTTCAGCCACTCCCCCTGCTGCTTCCGTCTGCTCTCGTCTGTTTTCCAGGCGAGGCGCTGCTCAACCTCAAAAACGCCATTCTCTGCGCCTCCCGTCTTCTTTAAACCGCCAAGAATCATTCCTCCTACGCACACGCTTCTCTGCTTCATACCGTTTCGAACTGTCTCGCTTCTCCTCACCAGTTTTAAAGCGTTTTGCCGGAGATTTCCTCAAGAAATCCCATCCCTGTGGTGGCGCCATCTTCCTGCGTGCTTGTGTGTTTCTAGCGTGGTTCCACTTCATCTTTAATAGTGAACTTATAGTTCACGTGACTATAACTAGAATCGTGCAGTACGTGCACGAATCGTACAAGTGCAGTACGTGGCTAGAGGCGCGCAGGTTCACGCACGTGAAACGAAAGCGGCGGCTTCCTACAGGACGCGGCCATGATGTAGGTGAAAGCCGGTGTGTAAATGACAAACAAGGCTTGGGCGCCACCCGGGCGGTAAGTCGTCAAGTATTTACCGCCCAACGAGAAAATTTAACGCCATTGGCGCTCGGGCGCTTTAAAGGTCCACCCCTGGTGACGCGTCTAAAATTCACACCTGCTCCGCTTTTATGGAAATTAAACTAACAAGATGAATAACATGAACTTATTTTAGGCACAGACAACATCCCCCACACTTTTGAAAAGCTTGCAACGCACCTGGTGGAGGACAACAGAAACCAGTTTCGGATCAGAAGCGTAACTACGGGTAAAACTTCTCCATCCTGTTTATTGTTAGCTGGCTGCAGCGCTACGGTAGCCTGGCAAGCCACACTGTATATTCACATATACAAACTTTGCAAAGCAAGAATTTGGTCTAGTTCACTAGGCTAGCGCTACGGAGCACAACTGTTGTCAGCTTCCTGTCTGCTCGGCTAAACATGGAGGCAGGATTATGGCAAGCCACTGTAGCATGTAATTCACAAACACGTTTATCTGTGAACATCCTTTAAACTGGATTATTGCTAATCCGTACATAATAGATATGTCACCGTTACATTTAAGCATAGAAGTTAAATGTTATAAGCATTTCCAGCAGGCTTCTACTGAACATGTTAATGAATACATAAAGTTTTACTGATCATAGTTTAATTATGGATATATTTAGGTGACAGATGTGGTTTTACACGCTACTGAACTGTTTAACTCATTCACTTCCATTGACGACTAACGTCGTCATTTGCCTTTTTTTTTTTACTGTGTGGGTGTCGGAACGAGCCCCCGCGCCAAGAGAACAAACATCTCAGCTCTGAAGCCGATCTTCATCCGCATACGTCACACGTCACATGATCAGGAAGCAGAACATCCATGTGTTAGGAGATCGTTTTGGGCCGCTGCTGTAAAAAAAAGTGAGGCGCGAACCGGAAAAACCTCTGCTGATCCCAATTCAACAACGGATTATGAAAAACCGGATAACGCCCAAAACACGTGGATTCTTCCTGATGTAAGAGGTGAGTGTCCGCTTTGTTTTGGTTGTTTTGGCGTCGACATCATCCTAGCGCACAACGTTCTGTGACTCTTAAAAAAAACAGTCAAAACGGTGAGAAACGCTGGCAGCGAATGGCTTTACCGATCAGGAAACGGCTGGCAGCGAATGAGTTAATAATCATGTTTGTTGTTAAAGTAAAGGGAGAGATAAAACTGTTTCCCCAGCAGTTTTAATTAGGTTATTTAGTTAATGATGTGGGATGTGTCTGTAAAGCACTTTCAGTTACATTTTTGTATGAAAAGAGCTTAATAAATAAAGTTTGATTTGATTTAAATTTTCCCGTTTAATCTGATTAATCGACTGATCGAGTCGAGACCCCATCCGATTCACCAATGATCCAAATAATCGATTGTTATAGCCCTACCTACCGGAGACACTTTTTTTTGTCCCCCCATAAAAAATGAAATGGGCTTTCTGCCCCTGGGGTCATTGAAGGCTTCCTACAACTTGATGGACACGTTGGGCTGTTTTGTGATTATTAACCATCAACTTCTTACACATAACACCTTTAATGTGAATCATAACCTGCTGCTGAACAAACAGCAGACCTCTGGTAGCTCCAACACACTTGTGTGGAAACGAAAAGCAGCAGGTGGGGACAGATCTCAGACAGGTAAAAAACGATCAGACCAGAGGAAGCACTCCAACTTCACACAAAACATCATGGATGGGAACAATAAAGACTCAAGTCAACCAGTTTGATGAAATAACCCGAAAGCACAACTTCTACAGATTTAGAACTAAAACTATCAGTGATGAGTCAGAAGAACTGTGCATTAACAGGAAATAAAAGAATAAATAAAACGTGTCTACATTTACAGACGTTCAAACCGGTTTTACGGTGCAACATCCGGTGGGTGTGAATCGTAGGACGTCCAAGGAAGGGCCCACCTTTCTCACCTCTGATTGTCCCTGCTGAGGGCCCATTGTCCTGCTGCCACCAACAAAACAGCTGTTATGGGGAGTTTTATAAAGAAAATGCTAAATTAGCTCTATAATAATCATTCTGGCCAGTTTTGTAAAATTGTTTTTTCTGTTTCTTTTGTTAAAGAAAACCTGAAAATGTAAAACGTGAACTGATAATATAACCTTGTTGCATTTTTCACACTGTTGGACTGACTTTCTACCTTACTAAATCACTACAGCCGAGTACTAGGACAGACACATGCCTTAGCTGGTATGGATTATACTAAATTCAGCCCAGCTGTGTCTTCTAGAATAATGAAAAATGCTGCCAAACAGGTCTGAAACCTAATCAGATTTGGATTAAATGGTCCACATTTAATCAGATGTGAGAGATGAGCTCTAACTAGCCAACAAACTTGAAGACATAAGACCACCCCGGTGCTTCGGAGACAAAAGGTTTAGAAGTTCACATTCGATGTTTTTCAGGTTCTTTTACAACAGAAGCTGGCTTGTTGTAAACTGGACTGAATGGTTCTTCTAGCACTAAATCTACGTTTTCTTCACTAAACTCCTCATAAACCCGCAGCGCGGGAACACGGTTTACACCAAACCGCCAATCGTAGGAGAGTCCTTCCAGCAAATCAGGGGCGAGAAAGGCGGGACCTTCCTCGGATATCCTACGATTCTAAATGACGCGCACACACGAACACACCGATCAGTAGCGAAGTTAGTAGATCAGTGCCCGGTTCAAAGACACCTGAACGTGCGGTAGGGGTACCGGAATCGGACTGACGACCTTCTTCTTCCTCCATGATCCACTGGGAACAGATGGACCAGGAGTCACCGACCCACAATCCAGAACCGACCGGAGACGGAAAACCAGCTCACCCATCGAGCCGCTCGCGCTGGTCTCTGTGGGTCCGCGGAGAGCCACCAGAACCGGATCCTGTGGCCAGACGGGTCCGGTCCTAGGATCACAGACGCTTTCCTTCCTAGTGGCTGTTGCTCCTCCTCCTGCTAGTGATCGGACAAATCAAGTCCCGCTTCGAGGATGGCTTAACTTCCCAGAAAAACACGTGACTGATCACTAACGAAGCACGTCAATACGTAGACGCCTCATTGGCCGCTGGATGGCGTAACGGCGTCGCCGCCATATTGAATGGGTCTCCTCAGTCTAGTTCATCAGAATGGATTTTGTTTTATGACATTTCTATTTTAATTATCATGCAACCACGTGTCTGATTTTGGGAAAATGTTGTTGGCTAGTTAGAGCTCATCTCTCACGTCTGATTAAATGTGGACCATTTAATCCAAATCTGATTAGGTTTCAGACCTGTTTGGCAGCATTTTTCATTATTCTAGAAGACACAGCTGGGCTGAATTTAGTATAATCCATACCAGCTAAGGCATGTGTCTGTCCTAGTACTCGGCTGTAGTGATTTAGTAAGGTAGAAAGTCAGTCCAACAGTGTGCCACTATGGCAGCGCCAATGCACGGGGTGCATAGACATTGATAGACCATGTGTGATCGCTACTGCCTATGGGCGCTGACAAGCTCTGTGGGGATTATTCCTGCTCTAATCAGCAGACTACTGAGACCAAAGCTCGAGGGATTACTTTTAACCTGTTGAACCCTAACGCCCCCCAATTGGGGGCCTCTACAGTTTCATGTCCTAAACATCTACAACTGTCCACATTCTCCAAACACAACTAAAACCACAATCAAACAGCCCAGATGGGAAACAAGGCCATTTTAAATTGCAATAAATTAAGAAACAATGATATTTGAACTTTCTTTTAGAAGAGCATCTGACCTTCACTAGTGTCTGCTGGAAAAAAAACCTTGAATAAAATTTAGTTGAGGACCTCTGGAATAAATAAAACAATTGACTAAATTTCCTAAATGGAATATGAACTCACAACCTCCATCCTGTCAGCACTTTCACACAGGGCAGCTCTTCTAATATACACTTCAAGTATTATTTTATCTTAATGCATCAAAAACCAAAAATTGCTTTGTTTACAATCTAAACTGTTTTAATTGTAGCTGTAGCTGTGCTCGGGGAATGCAAACAATCGCCGACACTTGGGACATGAAACTCCAAAGGCCCCCAATTGGGAGGCGCCAGGGCCTAAATGGTTAACAAGTACGTTTGAGCACTTTTTTTGTTTGTATTTAGTAAATACAACTTTGTCCGTCTCCAAGTTTAGGTCCTCCACCACCTCCCTCACTCATGGTGTCCCACAAGTCTCTGTGCGGGGGCCTCTGCTCTTCCTCCTCTACTGCTTCCTCTTCAGCACATCCTGAGCTCCTTTAAAGGAATCTCCTATCATCTTTACACAGATGACATCCAACTGTACATCTTCTTTAAGCCCCATGAGATGTTTAAGCTGCAGCTGTTACACACCTGCTTAGACTCTATCAAAACCTGGGTGACTGGGAACTTTCTACAGCTGAATGAAGATAAGACTGAGATCTTCATCTGTGCCCCAGACAAGCTGGTTCCCAAAGTCAGAGACTCTCTTGGTCAGCTTGCTTCTCACACCAAACACTCTGTCAGGAATCTTGGTGTGACCTTTGACCCAGCTCTCACCCTGGATTCTCATGTCAGTTCTCTTGTTCGCTCTTCCTTCTTCCATCTCAGGAACGTTGCTAAGCTGAGTCCCATTCTGTCCCGCTCTGAACTTGAGACAGTTCTCCACACCTTCATCTCCTCACGCTTAGACTACTGTAACTCTCTTTTCACGTGTCTGAGCAGAACCTCCCTGAACCGTCTACAGGTGGTTCGGAATGCCTGTGCTCGGCTTCTGACCAATTCCTCCAAACACACCCACATCACCCCGCTTCTCCTCCAACTTCACTGGCTGCCAGTCAACTTCAGGGTTCATTTCAAGATCATTGTTCTGGTCTTTAGGGCCTTACATGTAGCGGTCACACTTTATAGCGTGACCGCTATATATAGCATCGATGACCAATAAGATGTGATGATTCCATATAAATATGAAATATCAATCTGATTGATCTTTGAATGTTTAATCAGAAGATTATAGTTACTTTTACTTGTTCAGGGACCATAAACACACTTCGTATTAATTCAGATAGAGTCAGTATATAGTTAAAAAGGAATTTCATTATTTTCTAAACTAATGATTATACATGACAAGATATGAATATTGAGATGTGATGGAGTGGATATGCTGTGATGGAATGTGATGTGTAGGTGGTGTGATGTAAGCTAGATGTTTATCAGAATCTTTGTCTCTGAAAGAAATTATGAAATCTGGGTGTAAAAGAATTTGTTGTCTGCTATAAACTAGAGAGTTGATTATTAATAAAACAGCATCAGATACAATGTGCTGTGTCTACACAAACCCTTTATTCATTGATTAAAGCACAGGTTATTCAAACATTTGATTTAAACATCTTGTTCATTGATCACATATAATTATTTACCTAGTGAGTTGTAAAAGTTCACTTTTTATTCAGTGATGAATCCAACTGTCTGACTTTGAGCAGAGAGAGAAGGCTTTCGCGGGAGACCATGAATCCAACTGTCTGACTTCGAGCAGAGAGAGAAGGCTTTCGCGGGAGACCATGACAGTTTATTTATGTCTGCATTGAAGAACAGTGAGTGAGACAGAGGTTGATTTGTGTGTCTGGATACTCCAGCTGGCGTAACCTTGACTTTGCAGCTCTGGCGTTCATGAAAGGTTACTGTGTCAATCTGATGGTGGAAAATGACCCTTTTGATTCATTACACATGGACAAGCACCATCATATATTGGTGATCTTCTCAGTCCCTACACCCCCAGTAGGTCCCTGAGGTCCAGTGACCAAAGCCTACTGGTTGTGCAGCACCAGGCTAAAGGTCAAAGGTGACAGATCATCTGCTGCTGTGGCCCCCAGACTCTGGACCTCTCTCCCCCTGAGCCTGAGGCCAGTGGACTCAGTGGTCTCCTTTAAAGAGCAGCTGAAGACCCACCTGTTCAGGCTTTGGTGTGACTTTCATCACCCTCTCCTTCTTCTACTCTCCCTACCTATTCCACCTTCCCCAGGCTCCACTGATTTCCCTCTCTCCTATTCAGTCTCTCTCTTTCTTTACATTTTTTAATCACAATAGTCAATTTTTGCTCATTTTAAACATATTTTGATCATTTATAGAAATATTTTTTATATTTTAAATGTTTTGTTTTTGTGCAGCGCCTCATGATTTTTTATCTTGAGAGGCGCTGTAGAAAGATCATTTTCTTTCTTTCTTGCTGTACTGTATTTGTGTCCACCAGCAGAACCTCCTAGCCAGCTAATGTTAGCTACATGCTAACTGCTGTTGTCTCCCTCACAGTGAAGCTAAATAAGACTATATTAATCATTTATTCCTAAACACTGACTTATATTACAGCTGAAACAAGAATGCTGCTGTAGAAACCAAACAAATCTTCACATTTTTCATTAGCTGAACTCAAACATCTGAAACGTTTTCTACATACACAATAGACCCATGAATCTCAGATATTGTTCTGAAATGTGTCTACATGTTTGTTAGTGAGCACTTTTCCTTTACCAAGATAATCTATCCCCCCTCACAGGTGTGGCGTATCAAGGGGCTGATTAGACAGCATGAATAATGTACAGGTATGCCTTAGCCTGCCCACAATAAAAGGACACCCTGAAATGTGCAGGTTGATCAAACAGCACAATGCCACAGATGTCACAATCTTTGAGGGAGTGTGCAGTTGGCATGCGGACTAAAGGAACGTCTACCACAGCTGTTGCACATGAAATGAACGTTAATTTCTCTACCAGAAGCCGTCTCCAAAGGCGTGTCGGATAATTTGGCAGTAAATGGCCTGTATTTGTATAGCACCTTCTTAGGGTTCTACAACCCGCAAGACGCTTCACAACACAATCAGTCATTCACCCATTCACACACTGGTGAGGATGTACTACGATGTAGCCACAGCATCCCTGGGGCGCACTGACAGAGGCATCCGAACACTGGCACCACCGGTCCCTCCGACCACCACCAGCAGGCAAGGTTGGGTAAGTGTCTCGCCCAAGGACACAACAGCAGAATTATCAGGTCAGAGCCGTGATCGAACCTGCAACCTTCCATTTGCTGAACAACCCGCTCTACCTCCTGAGCTCCTGCTGTCCCCAAGCAGTACATCCAACTGGCCTCACAACCTCAGACCCCATGTGACCACACCAGCCCAGGACTTTCACGTCCAGCATCACTTGAGACCAGTAGGTAAGCAAAGTGTCAGATGTTTGAGCTCAGCTCATGAAAAATGGGAGCAAAAACAAAAGTGCTGCGTTTATAGTTTTGTTCAGTGAAGATTAAATGTGTCTCCCACACCTGTTGTATGAAGTTTTGTAATTATTTTGATTCTCGTTGACAGATTTTTAGTGACTGATCTCTTTTCTATAAGTTTTGGCACTGAGCTCTGGACAAGAGTCAGACTCGTACCCACAGCAAGCCCATTGCTATTACAAACACTAAAACATGTGTCCTGTATCAGAGCTACAGCTACATGTGTGACGTTGGCACAGAACCGGTTCAGAATTAAAGGAGTTCTGGCTGTGGCATAGCATGGTTGAGCTAGGCCCTGTAGCCTCCCGAAATGGTCTGTTTTTCCATCTACAGGTCGACCTCTTCAGTATCGGGTCACATGGAGACATAAGTCTTAACTGAGGCTTTAATCTGCAAGAAAGATACTGTGCTTGCCCCAGGTCCCTCCAAGCTCCCTCTTATCTAAGACTGCTTCGCTTCACAGCGCAAGACGGATGAACTTTCATAATTAAATCATATATTGAACAAGATGAGTAAATAATCATATTGTTGAATGAACAACAATGGTTGAAGAATAATAACAATGTTTTGATTAATCTGTGCTTAAATTACTGTGGTTGAAATGAATATTATTATGTTATGATCAGTAAAGTTAGATTTAACAAGTGAATCACTATCTCTGACAGCTCACACACTCAAGACATGACGATGACAAAGTTAAACTAATATCATGA